TGTATTCATATAAGCCAGATCTGTAAAATGGGTCTCTCTGCTTGTAAAGCTCAAGTCCTGAAGCAAAGACTTCCGTCAGAAATGAACGAACAAATGTCCTTTAGGATTACAGCCCGTGAACATTAAGGAGAAGAAGTTAAAAAGAATTGTCCTTTATTTGTTACTTTCCTTTCTCTTTCTTCTTTTTCTACTCCTTTCTCTCTCTCCCCTCTCCTTTCTGTCTCTCTTGCGTCCTGTTCTGCCCCCCTCCCTTCCTGTATGTGTGGTAACTTCGACATCTGTACATATGACTTGACCCTTATTCAAACTTACACCCACATCAGTTCTAAATCAAGATTTAAATTATTCTATGTAAATAATGTGAATGTGTGAGGTGAGTTAAGTCAAGAATTGACATCACAGCACTCAGGGCATTCCCATGTGTTCTCCGTCCTCATCTTCAGCAGCCAGCGCAGAGTTCCAATACCGATGGTACTGTTTACAATCTGTTTTAATGTCTTTCTTGCCTTTCCTCTGAGTGTAGTGAGCCGGCCACTATGTATGAACAACCGACCAATCCTAACTCAGCACAATGAGGTTCTTCTGTTCTGTTCTGTCCTTGCAATTGTTTATCGTGGATGGAATCCAGTCCAGCACATTTGGCCTCCCTCATCAACCTTGGTCCTTACCCATACATGCCTACAGGTTAAATCTGGCCCTTATGGGTGCTCTAATCATAACTTTTTTGAAGGTTGAATAGGGTATCTGGGATCTGCCTTGTTGATCTGTGATCCAGATTGAGATGATTTCATCTTATGATTGTATGGTAAACCTGAACTCTTTGAGTCCCTGGTTTTTGACTGATTGATTTGATTCAAGAACCAACATCACAGCACTTGGGGCATTCCCATAAGCGCTCCATTTCCATCTTCAGCAGCCAGCGAAGAGTTCCGATACTAATGGTGCCGGTAGCATTCTGATAAAACGTCTGTCTTGTCTTTCCCCTGAGCCTCGAGCATCTGCCAGAACCTCTCGTCACTCCCCACTGTATCAATCTCCCCAGACTGTGGTGATCCATCTGCTCCACCGAACTGTATACGCTCTCCCACAAGGCACTAACCACGTCTGCCCTAACATGTATCAGTATTCCACCAAGTTATGCAGAGCCAGCCAGTCTGTCCGCCTGTTCATTTCCCAACACACCGGTGTGCCCCAGTGAAAAAATCCAGACTCCCCACTGTGTTTTCGGCAGCGAAGCATGCCACTCTGCACGAAGCAACCTGTTCTGATCTTCCTCAGCATTTCTGAATCAGTTGCAATCACGAGTCCTTGGTTGGATGCTTCCTAATCGCATTACAACCTAAAATTTTATTTTTTTAAACTAATAGATGTTTGAGTCTAAAGCAGACGAAATAATAACAACATGAGAAATAAGGAAAAAAGCAACAGTTAGGCAGCGTACATAAACCTAATTATTGGATGGGGGAACCATATTTTAAAAATAGTGAGCTTAACAAATGTATGGTGAGTTGGTTCGGACTGAATGAGTTCATGTAGCAGCTCAGAACGAACAAGCTGATGTGTCGGTCAATCTTGGGTTGGTTTAGTTTATACCATGGATCAACATCATGGCACAAGGGTAGTAATCCATAAGTGCTCGGTTCTACTTCTTACTCAAGCCTGAGAGAAGAATTTCAGCGCAGTGCATGAACTGCGTCGCACTGGCAAGGATCCTGAAATACTGTGGGTAGATTTTTAACTCCAAATTTTGCCTAGGCAGCGCTGTTAGGCTACTCTTTTCAATTTCTAACTACCAAGGGATTTTGTTTATGTGCGCAACAATACACACAGGCATCCGATCTTATACTACCCAGAGCCCTGAAGGAATTACTAGAAGTCCACAATAAAAAAAATCCCAGCCTTCACCGGGGACTTCACCGGGGACTGTTTCTTTGTGTATGAAGTTCTTAGTGCACCTGTTCAACCCATTTTTGGCATCAGTAAACAGTGCCTGTGTTATCTACCAGGTATTGAAAAACTCATTAACTAAAATAACCATTGGTTTTTATGTAGATCAACCCAGTCCACCCCTTGACACAGTTTGGGTAGTTCAGGGACATTTGTGTTAAGGTCTGATGCACACCTCACTGGGTGTGAATTGTTGTTACACTATCTAGTGCTGATCAACAATCAGATAGTAACTAGACTGGTGTTTTGGGTGTGTTAACATTTCAGTCACTTAGACGTGAATACAGGAATAGTAACAGGTGGTGAGTTTTAACATTTAGAAGCAGTTGGTAAATGTTAACAGTTGGTGGTAGTGACATGAATATAGTAGTGACAACAGGAAGAACAGTTGCTGTTTTTAACATCTAGTGATAGAGGCGTGGATACAGAGGTTATAACAGTTGGTAAGTTTTAACATCTAGTGGTTGAGATATAGATACAGAAAGAACATTAAGTTTTAACATTTAATGATTGATATATGCATACCATTTGATGATAGAGGCAAGAATACTGGATACATGAATCACACTACTTGTTAAGTTTTAACATCTAGTGATAAAGATGTAAAAAAAAGAGGAACAGGTAGTGACTTTTAACATCCAGTGATAGACATGGATACAAGAGTCACAAGTTTTAACATTTATATGTGTGGGGAAAAAGCACAACTATGAATAATAAGCTGAGAATTACATAGAACTGTGTGTTTACTGGGTCACATCACCACAATATGTGAACATGATAAAATAAAAGACATAACTAACTGCTGTTGCTTCTGTATGGTCTCTGTTTTTGTCTTACAGCAGTGAAGTATTGCACAGAGAGGAGTTAGATGTAGTTTTCTGTCTTTTGTTCTGCAGCAGTGAAGTATTGCAGAGAGGGGAGTTGATGTAGTTTCCTGTCTATTATCCTACAGCCGTGAAGTATTGCACAGAAGGGAGTTAGATGTAGTTTCCTGTCTTTTGTCCTACAGCAGTGAGGTATTGCACAGAAGGGAGTTAGATGTAGTTTCCTGTCTTTTGTCCTGCAGCTGTGAAGTATTGCACAGAGGGGAGTTATTTGTAGTTTCCTGTCTTTTATCCTACAGCCTTGAAGTATTGTACAGAGGGGAGTTGGATGTAGTTTCCTGTCTTTTGTCCTGCAGCTATGAAGTATTGCAGAGAGGGGAGGATGTAGTTTCCTGTCTCTTGTCCTTCAGCGGTGAAGTATTGCAGAGAGGGGAGGATGTAGTTTCCTGTCTTTTCCTAGTTGCATAGCATGTGTTAATGTCATATTTTGTAGTGTCTCTTTTACTCCCTGCACCCATCTGTTGCTTGGTTGGCCTCTTCAACTTGAAGCCTGTTGTTTTCATGTAGTATGCTCTAGCTGCTGACTAGATGACCAAACCATTTGAATCTTTGCTGTTCTGTGAAATCATTTACTGGTACTTTGCTGGTTTTCATTTATTGCAGATAAAGAGATATTCAAATGTGGACTTGATAGATAATCATAGACAGAAGTGTTCACATACAAAAGGGACATTTAGGTTTTTTCTCATAAATGCATATACTATTTTAAGCGCAGAACCATTACTGAACTTTATCGGTGGACAACAGATCAAATGGTCTGGGCACATAACAAGACTGGCAGCAGACAGGACACCAAGAGAGCAGTGCTCTATAGATACAGAAGTAACAGAGCCAGAGGTCGACCACGCAGATTATGGACAACAGAAATATCAGACACACTGAAAAGTACTGTATGCGAATTGAAAGGGTGGGGGGGGGGGGGGGGGGCGGTTCCAAAGATCTCCTTTTACCCTGACGCTAGGAATTATAGGAGTAGAGAAAAGAAGAAGATAAATTCAGGAGGACTAATTGGCCTATTGTTAGAGCACTGGGCTGTTATGCAGGAGGCCCAGGTTAGTTCTTTGGTAAGAGATGCAGATTTGTTTCTGTTAGAGGCACATACACAAAAATCATGACCTGCACAGTTGGTGGCGACTGCACTAGCCGCTCGACCTTTAGTCCTCAAGCTCAGTATCTCTGTGACCTACGCCACCCTAAAAGTGGTAAGTGTAGGCAGTAAAGACAGTCTTATGGTAGATGCTAGTATGGCTGTCCCCTCTGTATGCTGACATACCCACATTTTCAGACGATGCCATTAATGATTATTGCATTTCTGAGTGTAAGGGATGCTGCCAGAAATGAAAACAGGGTCTACCCAACGCTCAAGGGAAAGGCGAGATGGAACTACAGACAGGCTGTTACTGTTAACATCAGAATTTGATCTCTGCTAAAGATGGAAATGTTCTGTGTATTGTGATGTTGATTCTGATTTAAGCGTGGTGAGTGTAAGTTGTCTTGTTGCATGGCATGGAGGTGTGTCGGCACACGAACTGATACAGGCTGCAGGAGATCGCAGATTATGGAGAGGCATGATCGTCCACGCCAGTCGGCAAGGCACCTGATGATGATGATGAGTGAAAGTTTATGTGGCCCCCTGTTGTGCATACACTTATTCATATCACTGGTGATAATCAAATACTCAAATCCCTTCTCACCAGAACTTTTTATTCAGACCATCTACAGGTTGGGACTGGACTGCAGCAGTAGAGCAGATATCAACCAGACAGCTGGAAAACTAACACGCCAAATTGTAGGATCAAGGGAATCTTTGGTTGAAGGAGAATGCAGTTTTCTTCCTTCGATGGGTCTTGTCTCTTACCCCGAGATCTGGGATTACACCACAAAGTACCTACCAATAACATATATCCACATGTTACGAATTGTTTAAAGTCAGTACATAAAGTTTAATAATCTCAAATTAATCTAGAAATCTTCTTAAAGTCGATGTTGTGTGGCGTTGGTAGTCATTTATATCCGCAACCTCTCTTGTGTTCTTTTAGTCAACTCTGACACAGATGTTTCTCCATGCCATGATGTCAAACTGTTCAGCATCTTTTCTCTCTGCCTCCCTCTGCCTCTTATAAATCTATAAATATTTTACTTATTTCCTCTTGTTTGCATTTCTGACAGAGGACATGACCTATGAGAACAAGGACAGATCAGGATCCAACGACCACGACTACTCCAGGATGCTGTCCAACACATACAACCCTAACTACCACCACATCCTGCCGGCGTTGAGTCTCCAGACACTGGCCAGGGCCTGGTTGCAGGAGGACACACCAGCGTTTGACTTTGCCGGGTTTGTTGTTGGGGACGGGCAGGAAGTGGGACTGCTGTTGATGAAAGAGGCCGGAATTATTGCAGGGAGGCCATTTGTGGATGCCATATTCAAGGAACTCGGATGTAGCCTCAAGTGGCATGTACAGGAGGGTGATTATGTTGAACCAATCAAAACTGTCGCTACCGTAACCGGTAGAGTGCGGGATTTGTTACTAGGTGAACGTGTGGCCTTGAACTGTATAACCAGGTGCAGCGGTATTGCCACCAAGGCACGCCGGTTAGCAAAAATTGCCTCAGCCTCTGGGTGGAAAGGTACAATCGCTGGTACCAGAAAAACAACACCAGGCTTTCGGTTAGTGGAAAAATATGCTCTGCTTGTCGGCGGAGTGTCGACACATCGGCATGACTTGTCTTCCATGATCATGCTGAAGGATAACCACATTTGGACGGCAGGCAGTGTCACAAAGGTTCGTGAATGTTTCTCCTATTTTTTTTTTTAAAGATTCCTGGTCTTGTCAGTGATTGGTGTCTGGCATTTAATGCTGCTGCCTGTATCGACAAATAAAAGGAGTGTGCAGTTTCTTCTTTTTCTTCACGTTCATTGGCTGGCGGAAAGTTCTGGTTGTTCATCCACCTTTGGACTGCAGTCCTGTTCCAGAACCCGAGTGTTGCATGTGCATCCGTTTGATAGATCTGACTGCTGGTTCCTTGCCTCTCAGGCAGATGCACTCCGACTTCGAAGGAAGCTCCCAATTAGTTGTTTCCCCTATAATAGGGCACCGGAACCCACACAGGGAGTGTGCAGTTTATTATGTTGGATTTACCTACATTTTTAATAAAATTCACCCAAATGTTAAGGTTTAGACGACGTATCAACATCACGACACAAGAGTAGTAACCCATAAGTGCTCCATTCTACTTCAGACTCAAGTCTTATTTTGAAGAATCTCAGCGAAGTGCACGAACTCCATAGCCCTGGCAGGAATCCTGAAATACTTTAGGTAGATTTTTAACTCAAAATTTTGCCCAGGCAGCGCCATTAGGCTACTCTTTTCATTTTCCAACTGCCAAAGGATTTTTTTGTACGATCTTATTATCCAGAGACCAGGGGAAATTATTAGAAGTCCACAGGAAAAAATCCCAGCCTTCACAGGGACTTGAACCGAGGCAACCCCCCTCCCCTCCTAATTTTTAAGAGATGTTGGAATTTTAAAAATAAATCATCATTAGATAGTTATTTTTAGGGCCAGTGTTATGCCTTGTGCGCTGCAGTTACCGGGGGAGGGGGCGGTGTAGACCAAGGTTCACATAACAAGCATGTCATAAAAGGCAACTAATTAGGGCATTCCTGAAATCATCTGTTGAGCTAAAGGGATAAATATCACCGCATCACTGTAAATCCCTTCACAACCTACCAACCACTCTTTTGGAAGAGGCTAAAAATGTTCCATGTCAGAAATCCAGAGAGTTTCATGCAATAAAATGGAGTGGAGGAATCAAATATGAGTCCTACATGACATCTGATGGCACACAAAGGATGATGGAGATATATCCTGTATTATCACTGGTTATGTATATCCTTTTTGTTAGCAGTCTATGTTTATCCTCTGTTAGCACGATCTGTTTATCCTCTATTGTCACCAGAAATGTGTATCCTCCATTATCACCAGCTAATGTGTATCCTCCATTATCATCAGCTAATGTGTATCCTGCATTATCATCACCGAATGTATATCCTCCATTATCACCACTGAATGTGTATCCTCCATTATCATCAGCTAAAGTGTATCCTGCATTATCACCAGCGAATGTGTATCCTGCATTATCATCAGCTAATGTGTATCCTCCATTATCACCAGCGAATGTGTATCCTGCATTATCATCAGCTAATGTGTATCCTGCATTATCATCAGCGAATGTGTATCCTGCATTATCATCAGCTAATGTGTATCCTCCATTATCATCAGCTAATGTGTATCCTCCATTATCATCAGCTAATGTGTATCCTGCATTATCACCAGCTAATGTGTATCCTGCATTATCATCAGCTAATATGTATCCTCCATTATCACCAGCTAATGTGTATCCTGCATTATCGTCAGCTAATGTGTATTCTGCACTATCACCAGCAAATGTGTATCCCGCATTATCGCCAGCTAATGTGTATTCTGCACTATCACCAGCTAATGTGTATCCTGCATTATCGCCAGCTAATGTGTATCCTGCATTATCAGTCTTGTTTATCCTCTTTTATCAGCAACTTTAAGTATCCTGTGTTATCACAGTCTTGTTTATCCTATTGTGTATTATTATTGTCTGTTTATATCCTTCGTTGTCACCAGATGTGTATCCTCCATTATTATCGACTGTGTGTATCATTTGTTGTCACCAGCAAGATATACCCTCTTTTACCACCAGCAGTTATATAAACATATCCACTGGCTGTCTCCTAAAATAAATACATCTTGTTATCCATATATCCTCTGTTATCATTGTCTGTCTCCTAAAATGAAGAAATATTGTTATCTACCTGTCCTCTTTTGTCATCATCTATATGTATCCTCTTAATCAGCAGCAATTATGTATCCTTTATTATCGCTAGCTATCTCCTAAAATACATCTTGTTATCCAAGAATTCTCTGTTGTCATCATCAGTGTGTATCCTCTAGTATTACCAGCAGTTAATGTATCATCTATGTAAATATCTTCAATTATCACTGGCCTTGTGTATCTTCTGTTGTCACTGGCTGTGTGTATCTTGTTACCACCGGCTGTGGGTATCTTCTGTTACTGCTGGCTTTGTGTATCTTCTGTTACCACTGGCTGTGTGTATCTTCTTTTACCACCAGCTATGTGTATCTTCTAGTATCATGGGCTAAGTGTATATTCTATAATCTATTATCATTGATTACGTGAATCTTCTATTATCACCGGCTACATGTATCTTCTATTATCACCGGCTACATGTATCTTCAGTTATAACCGGCTCTGTGTATCATCTGTTATCACTGGCTGTGTGTATCTTCAGTTATACCCAGCTGTGTATATCCTGTATCATCACTTGCTCTCCTATAATATGTCTTATTATCCATGTATCCTCTGTTATCATTATCTGTGTGTATATGTTCTGTTATCACCAGCTCTGTGTATCCCTTGCAGGCTGTGAAGGATGCCAGACAAGTGGGTGGCTTCTCCACAAAAATTGAAGTGGAATGTCGGAGCCTAGATGAGGCAATTGAGGCAGCCGACTCCGGCGCTGACATTATCATGTTGGACAACTTTTCTCCAAAGGTATGTTGATGTCTAACAGTCTGGTTGGTTGGTTCTTTCGAGAACAGGAAATAAAAAATTTTGGACCACATTCAGCCCACTTATGTGGAAACTTCGTTTATATTTGTGGTTGATGATCATAGCGATTTTACTGGATCTGTAGTGACTTGTCTGAAGTCACCCCCTGTGTGGGTTCTGGGGTTGCATTTTAAGGGATGGGGGGAGGGGGAGACAAGCCACTGCTTCTTAAGCAAAACTTACCAACTGGCCTGCTTGTTTGTTGCTTCTTACTCCAGAATGACCCATTTTGAGGGGATGAGTGAGCGATCATCCTCAGGTGGACGTCCTTAAATGCAGTGGATGCTGCCATCAACATCTTTAGGTCTGCAGGTCAGATTTTGAATTACCAACATGGTCGCGGTCCATTAAAAAAAGGCCTGTTGCAAAAATAATACTCATATTTTCTCATAACACAATATTTTCTGGGATAATCTAAGATTATAATCTCTTGTTGTGCCTCTGGCCAGACATACTCATGCACTGAAGCCTTTCTTTATATTCCTACATCCAGGACACAACAATTCAAGTGATCTAGTCTACATTCTCACATGAAATAAAATATCTTTATATTAAAGAGATCATTATATTTAAATTTCAAACTGGACACAGAGGACTCCACAGCCAAATATACCAGACATTCAAGATTTGTGACACCCCAAAATACTGAACAAACTGCAGATATTCTCTCTACTTGCAGCAAATAGGTCCCAGATTTGGCTGATTGACATTCTGATGGGAGTCAGGCTGTATGAATCAGTGGATGACTTGTGTCACACCACAGCATTCATAGAGCCCTGTGACCTGTCATCCATGCTGCATGAATCAGTGGATGACTTGTGTCACACCACAGCATTCATAGAGCCCTGTGACCTGTCATCCATGCTGCATAAATCAGTGGATGACTTGTGTCACACCACAGCATTCATAGAGCCCTGTGACCTGTCATCCATGCTGCATGAATCAGTGGATGACTTGTGTCACACCACAGCATTCATAGAGCCCTGTGACCTGTCATCCATGCTGCATAAATCAGTGGATGACTTGTGTAACACCACAGCATTCATAGAGCCCTGTGACCTGTCATCCATGCTGCATAAATCAGTGGATGACTTGTGTCACACCACAGCATTCATAGAGCCCTGTGACCTGTCATCCATGCTGCATGAATCAGTGGATGACTTGTGTCACACCACAGCATTCATAGAGCCCTGTGACCTGTCATCCATGCTGCATGAATCATTGGATGACTTGTGTCACACCACAGCATTCATAGAGCCCTGTGACCTGTCATCCATGCTGCATGAATCAGTGGATGACTTGTGTCACACCACAGCATTCATAGAAAACTGTGACCAATCATCCATGCTGCATAACTCAGTGGATGACTTGTGTCACACCACAGCATTCATAGAGCCCTGTGACCTGTCATCCATGCTGCATAAATCAGTGGATGACTTGTGTCACACCACAGCATTCATAGAGCCCTGTGACCTGTCATCCATGCTGCATAAATCAGTGGATGACTTGTGTCACACCACAGCATTCATAGAGCCCTGTGACCTGTCATCCATGCTGCATAAATCAGTGGATGATTTGTGTCACACCACAGCATTCATAGAGCCCTGTGACCTGTCATCCTGGCTACATAAATCAGTGGATGACTTGTGTCACACCACAGCATTCATAGAGCCCTGTGACCTTTCATCCATGCTGCATAAATCAGTGGATGACTTGTGTCACACCACAGCATTCATAGAGCCCTGTGACCTGTCATCCATGCTGTATGAATCAGTGGATGACTTGTGTCACACCACAGCATTCATAGAGCCCTGTGACCTGTCATCCATGCTGCATAAATCAGTGGATGACTTGTGTCACACCACAGCATTCATAGAGCCCTGTGACCTGTCATCCATGCTGTATGAATCAGTTAATGACTTGTGTCACACCACAGCATTCATAGAGCCCTGTGACCTGTCATCCATGCTGCATAAATCAGTGGATGATTTGCGTCACACCACAGCATTCATAGAGCCCTGTGACCTGTCATCCATGCTGTATGAATCAGTGGATGACTTGTGTCACACCACAGCATTCATAGAGCCCTGTGACCTGTCATCCATGCTGTATGAATCAGTGGATGACTTGTGTCACACCACAGCATTCATAGAGCCCTGTGACCTGTCATCTGTGCTACATAAATCAGTGGATGATTTGCGTCACACCACAGCATTCATAGAAACCTGTGACCTGTCTTTCTGACTGCATAAATCAGTGGATGACTTGCGTCACACCACAGAATTCATAGAGACCTGTGACCTTCTCATCCTAAAACCACAGGCAGGATGAACAAAACAAAATAGTATCCAGTGAGGACGTGTATATCACAAAGTGCAACAGCTGAGTGTATCACCAGCTGTAACAGCTGAGAGTATCACCAGTTGTAACAGCTGAGAGTATCACCAGCTGTAACAGCTGAGAGTATCACCAGTTGTAACAGCTGAGTGTATCACCAGCTGTAACAGCTGAGAGTATCACCAGCTGTAACAGCTGAGTGTACCACCAACTGTAACAGCTGAGTGTGTCACCAGCTGTAACATCTGACCACTTATGGACCCTGAAGTTATAGGACACATTATGTGGGAGCTTGGACTGTCAACCCTCCCGCTGAAGGTAGTAAACAGTGCGTGACAGAGAGGGTGGGTTTCAGAACTGCTTGAAAAATGCTCTGTATTTAAGATATAAATTGTGACACGCAGTGACAAGGCATCAGTAACTTTCAAGTGGCTGAACAAAATATGGAACTCTTAATTGTATAGTTTTAAATACAAGTTATAGATTTTTACTTTTAATGAAATTTCAGTTTTAACCTAGATGAAAGTTGAACCACTGAAGACGTTGATAGAAAAAGAAAAGGCATTAGAAAATAAATGTTTAAGGAAATAGATGAACATTATATGGGAGAATTCAAGAACAGCAAAGAAAAGAGAGAAGTGTTTGCACAATCACTGGTATAAGGAGCTATCAGATGGCAATATATTACGTACATCCTAAAGAGATGCAAACAGAAGATCACCAGACAGGCACATCTATAGAAGACAGATAAATTGAGGAAACAAGAATGTCAAAAAAAAAAAAAAAAGAAACCCTAAGACGAACATTGATGAGAGAGGCCAAAGGTGCTGAACTGGGTTCCATCCATGATTTTAAAACAATAGCACAGGGTAGGATGTAATTGAAGCAAAAATTTTGGAGCCCTGTGTGATATAAAGGTACAAAATGATGCTGATAATTTCTAAGGTTATGATGATGATGGTAATTTCTAAAAAGAGGGTGATAATTTCTAAGATGATGATGAAAATTTCTAAGATGATAAAACGTTCTAAGGTTGAAAATTTCTAAGATTATGATGACAATTTCTAAGATGATGATGATAATTTCTGAGATAATAATGATAATTTTAAGGATAAATGTTCATAATCTGTTGTTATGTTTATAGTTTGACATTTATGATATGTGTCTTCTGTTTCTGTCTTAGTGAGCAAGTTTTTAGGTCAACACTCATCACGTATTTATGCTATATGTCTTGTTTCTGTCTTTGTCTACAAGTTGTTTTGTTAACACTCATCACATATTTATCTTGTGTCTGTCTTTGCAGTTGTTATGTTACCTCTTATGTTATATGATATATGTCTTGTTTCTGTCCTAGTCTGCAAGTTAACAGTATCACATATTTATATTTGTCTTCAATTCCTGTCTTAGTCTGCAACTGTATTTATAATATGACATCTTTATGATATTTATTGTCTGTTTCCATCCCAGTCTGCCCAGGAAGCAGCGTCTAGACTGAAGACACATTTCCCATCACTTGTCATTGAACTGAGTGGAGGAATCACTGAATCCAGCCTGACTGACTTCTGTGTGGAGAACATTGATGTTGTTTCTCTGGGTGTGCTAACTCAGGGTTACAGTACCATTGACTTCTCCTTCAAGATTCGAAAGGAGGGCCACGACCCCAAGAATCCAACAGTGAAAACGGTGGAAGGTTAAAGCTTTGCATGTCACAAGCATTGGATCATCAACAAAAGTGTGTCTCTTTAAATGTCAGATTTCTCCAGGATACAAAACGCTTACTGCTGATTGAGCATATACTCTTGTAAAAAATCTGGTCAAATACAGGTGTGAAATGAACCGACACATATCATCCTTTGACAGAGCCAGGTGTAGGTGGAGCATCCCATCCCAACTTGTGGTAGACATAGGCATGAAGTGAACTGACACACCATCATTCTTTGATAGAGCCAGGTGTAGGTGGAGCATACCATACCGGCTTGTGGTAATTACAGGCATGAAATGAATTGCACATGTAGCATACAGTAGTAAAGTGAAAATAGCTGCCACAGGTAAGAAAGGAATTGCAGATGTGACTATGACTGACACAGTTGTTGGTGAAAGCTATTGTAAAAAGTCCTTTGATAAGCGGCTGTAGACATGAATAATTCCATTGTGATATGTATATGTGAATGCAAAATTCCAGTTTATGTGAATTTCTTCTCTCTTTACCTCTGTGAAATGTTGGGAGATATAAGGGTCGCCTATGTGTCATTTCTGCATTGTAGAATTGTATAAGTGGATATTTCTTTGTTTATGATTGTATAAGTGGATATTTCTTTGTTTATGATTGTATAAGTGGATCTTTCATTGTTTATGATTGTATAAGTGGATCTTTCTTTGTTTATGATTGTATAAGTGGATCTTTCTTTGTTTATGATTGTATAAGTGGGTCTTTCTTTGCTCAGGATTGTATAAATGGATCTTTTTTGTTTAGGATTGTATAAGTGGATCTTGCTTTGTTTATGATTGTATAAGTGGATCTTTTTTAATGATTGTATAAGTGGATTTTTCTTTGTTTATCTTTGTATGAGTAGATTTTTCTTTGTTTCTGATTTTATAAGCGGATCTTTCTTTGTTTATGTTTGTATAAGTGGTACTTTCTTTGTATATGATTGTATGTGTGGATCTGTCTTTGTTTATGATTGTATAAATTAATCTTCATTTGTTTACGATTAAATAAGTGGATCATTTGTTTATGATCACATCAGTAAAATTATTATAGTTTATCTGATCAGATTTGTGAAACCTAATATTTTTGTGATCAGTTGCAGTTTGTGTAGTTTTCTCCTTCTCCTCCTCATCGTCACCCTGTTCCAGTTACTTGGGGGAGATGTTGGGAGCTGTAAGAGTCGCCTGTGTGCCTTTAATAGGTTGTGTAAGTTGATCTTCATTTGTTTATAATGGGGATATTTATAAGGGGATCTGGCTGATATTCGGCCCGTCAGAGGAAAGGCAGGATGGACATATAATTCGATTGGTATTAGAACTCTGCGCTGGCTGCTGAAGATGGGATGGGGCTCTTGGGAGAATGCCTCAATGCCGGGTTTTGACTCAACTCAGCTTGTTTATGATAGTGTTAGTGAAATTATTATTGTCTGTCTAATCAGATCTGTGAAACTTATTATTACTTTTGTAATAAGATTTGTGAAAGCATTACAGTTTATATGATCACATCGATGCATGATTGTGCCTTGGTTTCTGAATGTTTCGATCTGATAATGGTTTCTTTACACTGGTAACTGGCGCAAATGTCGTTTGTCTTCTCTAGAACCGAATGATGTTTACTGATGATGAAATCAGGGGGTAGATGTTAGTTTGGTCATGGACTCAGTGTTGTCCAATCTGCTAATTTGTGACTCATTGGAGCCTGAATAATGGACTTGCATCTGCATCATATCATGGATTGATAAGTGACCTCCTATATCCTGGATGTGTGAGTGACTTCCAGTATCGTGGATGTGTGAGTGACCTCCCAGATCGTGGATGTGTGAGTTACCCCTCGTATCATGGATGTGTGAGTGACCTCCAGTATCGTGGATGTGTGTGTGTGACCACTCATATTGTGGATGTGTGTGTGGCCACTCATATTGTGGATGTGTGACTTGCCCTCCATTTTGTGGATTTGTGAGTCACCCCCTATTTCTGAGATTTGTGAGCATACATACACAGACACACAGATAGACACACACTCAGACATACACACACAGAGACACACATAGGCAGACACACATCCGTCCATCCGCGGCGCAAAATTTGGTAATCATTGGCTTAGGGCAATAACCGAAGTGCTTTCGTGTCAGTTTTTCACTTCGCACAACTCAGCATGACGGTTATCAGACAACAGAGCCCGGCTCGATAGCGCAGTTGGCTAAACTGGACTGCGCAGCGACCGGTTGACAAACTCCTTGTAGTCCAGGTTTACGCCCGGGGGTAGGCAGAAAAGCCACATTTCTCACAGATTTACGGTATTTATCATGGAATCAAGGCCCAAAGGTTGCGATATCCATAATACCGAGCCTAAGGGTTTACAACTCATTGTTTCTGGATACTAAAACAAAAATATCAGAAAACAGCATGCACGAAAAAGGGCGACTAATCTCGTCTGTTTAATATCATTGGTCTAATACAAGAGTGATGGGGCATTGTGGCATTCACGATGAGGCATAAATTACACATTAACGGAACAAACATATCTAACTACACAATCTCAAATGCATTCACAACTTTCGTAAAACAAAACAGATTTGAAACTGAGACAGGTTTTCCATTAAGCGGACTATATTGAATATAGCTCCCCGACTTTACCGTTTATGTTCCGGAGTTTTTATATATAAATTTTTTATTAATTCGAAAAAAAAAGTTGTGTCGGAACGTTCGGCCATTTGTGTGGTCCATTTCTCCTCCCTGGCCTTCATTTCCCTGTTCAGCTTCCTGGTCGTAATAAATAATTCATGAATTAATTAGAAAATAATTAGTAATAGTCGCTGTATCGGCAGCGCCAATGACTATCAAGATGTGGTCGATTTGCATAAATATATGCGGATAAATAGAAACAGATCTATATAAACATCAATGGATACACGGACACAGTTTTACATAAACACACAAGAATATACAGATCTAGCGCAATATAAATATCCACGGATAAAGAAAATAAATCTTTGTAAATACTCGTTTATGTAAAGTAAAGGACCCTTTTCCACGCATTTACATAGAGTAGGCATATAGGGTTAAACCTATATTTAATAGACCAGTCGGCACTTGGTGGGTGATGTGGTCAGCAGGCCGCCTTTACTTCACAGGACTGCACCTGGTACCCACTCAAAGCTGGGCCGAGCTGGAAGCCAAGGTCATTTTTACAAAATAGCCCAGCTCCATCAGGACCCGAATCCTGGACCTTCAGATCAAACACCCGCTGATACAAGGACATAACCATGCACAAACATAAACTATAAAAACATATCAGGAAATATATTCATTGCAATATGGCAACCCATGGATATAGATCTACACACATATTCATTGAGCACACACGAGAACGTTAAATTCGTTATATACAAACAATCGTGAATATGCATTAATTATCAGCAGAAACATCAATTAAAAGCAAACCAAAAAATAATGAATTATGAGAGAGGATCATTGAGATAAAATAACATATGCCGCTTCAGACAAGGCTTACAAACATCATGTAATTTTAATTCTCCAACTTTCAAACCAGCAACAAACCAACACACACTAAGTCACACAGATAGTCGACTCTCACACTGTTTGTCCACTCTCAAACAGATAATCCACTCTCACAATGTTTGTCCACTCTTAAACAGATAGTCCACTCTCACACTGTTTGTCCACTTTCAAACAGATAGTCCACTCTCACACTGTTTGTCCACTCTAACACTGTTTGTCCACTCTCACACTGTTTGTCCACTCTATAGTGTTTTTGCATTCTCACACTGTTTGTCCACTCTCACACTGTTTGTCCACTCTCACACTGTTTGTCTATTCTGACACTGTTTGTCCATTCTGACACTGTTTGTCCATTCTGACACTGTTTGTCCACTCTCAAACAGATAGTCCACTCTCACACTGTTTGTCCACTCTCACATAGATGGTCCACTCTCAAACAGATAGTCCACTCTCAAACAGATAGTCCACTCTCACACGGTTTGTCCACTCTCAAAAAGAGAGTCCACTCTCACACGGTTTGTCCACTCTCACGCTGTTTGTCCACTGTCACACTGTTTGTCCACTCTCACACTGTTTGTCCACTCTCACACTGTTTGTCCACTCCACTCTCACACGGATTGTCTTTTCTCACACTGTTTGTCCATTCTCACAAGTTTGCCTGCTGTTATACAGACAGCCCACTCTTAGACAGACAGCCCACTCTTAGACAGACAGCCCACTCTCATGCAGGCAGCCCACTGTCACACATACAGCCCATTTCACAGTCAGTTCACTCTCTGGATGGAATCCACTCATACACAGACAACCCACTCACACAATCAACCCACTCTTAAACAGACAGCTCGCTCTCTCACACACGGCCCGCTCTGGCCGTTACTGTGTTGGTCGGAGGCATTCTATGATCATCTGCTTCTGCTGGTAGGTCAGCGGTTGCTGCAGGTCTGGCAGAGGGATGATAGTCGTGTCATCCAACAATCCATCCAGGTAGTCGGGGATAGCATGCACCTGGCTCTCCTCTAGCAGCACAAACAGACGATGCTGATTGACAGCTGTCACCGAGTGACTGGCATACTGGAGCAACAGAGAATATTATACTTGAGAACAAATCTGCTACTGTACTGATAAATCCATTTATATTGTGTTCGTCTATTTCTCTTCCTTTTAGTATTTGTCAGCAGTAAACTCATGAGTGGATGAGTGAGTGAGTGATTGAGGAAGTGAGTGAGTGAGTTAGTGGGTGTGGTGAGAGGGTGAGTAAGTGAGTGTGTGGGTGTGGCGAGTGGGTGAGAGTGACTGAGGAAGTGATGGAGTGAGTGGGTGTGTTGAGTGAGTGAGTGGGTGGGTGAGTGAGTGAATGAGTGGGTGAGTGAGTGAGTGTGGGTGGGTGACGGTGAACCCCACTAGGACAGCACGACGAGCCACAAACACCTGGTGACACAAAGTGCCAACATTCGAATGAAAAACCCAGTTCAACCGCTAGGTTATATTAGAATCCCCGACGACAGCCGATGTGGAGTGCTTTAAAATAACAGCACACAAAAACCGCGTCCGATATTCGGACGTATAAATAGAGGAAACGCTCTGGTTGACATTTCTAGTTGTTAGTCCACTTCTGGACTTTATTCTGGTTCCAGAGCTTGTATTTTGCACTCACATCCATTTTACAAGACTATTTATTTGTATGCAGACTGTTAGATGCTTTTTTACTGCAGAAGAAAATTCCCTAATTAGTTGCCTTTGATGACATGCTTGATATGCGGGCAGTTGGTCAATTATTGTTTTTCTTGCCCACACAGAAAAACTAATGTAAAAATTAAGGGGCGTCACTCCATTGCTTTAATTCTGGATCCTCGCAGAGTTGTTCACCTTTGGTAGGAAAGTGTACGGGGAACTGGCGTGGGACCGAGTTTCTCTCAAGTGGGTTGGTATAACCCATCAGTGCTCCATTCTACTTTTAACTCAAGTCTGATTCCGAAGTCGCTCAGCGCAGTGCACGGGCTCCGGAGCTTCGGCGAGGATCCTGAAATATTTTGAAATAAGTCCAAATTTTACCGGGGGGAGAGCCGTTGGGCTACCTTTTTCGACTTACAAATCTCCAGGTTTTTTTTTTACGTTCGCAACAATACACACGGGCGTCTGATTGTATCACACAGAGACCAGAGGAAATTATTAGAAGTCCACATGAAAAAATTCCAGCACTCAACGGGGCCTGAACCCGGGACCTTTAGCACACGTGATGGACACCATGCCTCGAGACCACGCAGCGCCCATGCTGCAAAGGACCTGCTAAGTAATGGTGATGATTTAGTCATTTAGAAATTAAATTTAAAAGCAAAAACAAACAACAACAAAAAACTGTTTTGTTCTAAAATGAAGGTTGGCTGCAATGTACCGTGTGGGTACGGAAGGCATTGCAGAGCGCCCGTGGTGTCGTCACTGAGCGAACCCACGACCTTCCGATCCGCAGCGAGCGTTTAGCCGCTCGGCCACGGCGACACCCTCCTTGCGCAGAGGCCATGCTAATCTTCTCTGTGTCGTTCTAATTTGAGTATATGTACTTCGGCCTTTTGGCTAAGATCAAAGTGTAGCTTTGCTGCACTGGGTCAGCCCAAGAGGATCGGGATTGGTCGCAACCAAGTCACGGGTGAAACCCAAACGACACGAGCCATCATACTGGATGGTTTCCCATTCAGCCTGGATTACAGACGTAATATCCTTCGGGTAGTCGGGCGGTTAAGAAAGAGAATAGGGGCTTTTGAGTTGAAATGCTATAGAAAGATTCACAAAATATCTTGGACAAAGAAGAGGAGAAATACTGACATCTTGAAAGATCTGAACATCAAGGAAGATTGGCTTACAAACAGCATCTTGTCTCGGAAGCTGAAATATTTTGGTGACATCAAGAGCAATGACGGATTGGAAAAAAAAATTATAGCAGAAGGCATGGTACCAGGAAGGATGGGCATGGGGCGACCGACACGAATATAAGAGACTCCTTGAGTATGAAAGTGCATGAGTCAGGGGATCTGGCGAGAGACTGAGTTTCTTTCAGGCAGACCGTGATGAGAGCGCTGTTCTGAAAAGGACCTGCTACATGATAATGATGATCAGTAGGGCGACCAGGCTGGGCATTTAGGAGACGAACCAGGGGAGAAAAAATCTTCAAAATATATATAGCATGTTTTAAGAGGGAGTGAGAATAAACTTCTCGCACAGAGTACCATTTGGTCGAGCTAGGACACAGCATGTCGCCGCTACTAACTACGGTATTGACAGGTTAGTTAGTTAGTTATTCCTCTTGTGCCAAAGATGGCGCATAGGGCAGAGGTCATAGCTTTCCACGTCTGTCGGTTCCTTGCCACTTGATGTAGAACGAAACAACATGACGTTTAAAGCCAGAAATCTGTTTCTGTAACAGTGGATGTTTTACGATGGCGGCTTGTTAGGCTACCGATCAACGGACTGGAGACAAGCTTGAAGGAAAACATCCCTCCATCTTGAAACCGGAACCGGAACCGTCATATTGACAGGTGGTGAGGGTATAATCTTTTCTACACTGCAACTCTCGTGCACCTGTCTAAACACAAGAGAACGGCGTGGGTTGTATCGATCCAGGGGTCACTGGTGATGTGAGTCGCCTGACAGTTTTGCCATTGCATTACCTCTGGAAGGTTGAGTGACACATGATGATGATGATGATGATGATGAAGATGGTGGTGACAATGAAGCTGATGTTGATTATTATGATTAAAATGATGATAATGACGACGATGATGATGATGAATTATTCAACTCTAACATCATATATCAGACAGTAGTTAGAGCCAGTGTTCCCCTCCTCTTCCCCCCCCCCCCCCTTCATCCCCACCCCAACAAAAAGGTGTCGGTACTCACCAAGAAGTGTTTTTAAAAAAAAAGTGCTGATACTTTCTAAAAAGTGCCTATTAAACTAACAATGAAAAGTGAACGATGCCTAAAATGGTACCAGTACTGCGGGGGTGGGGGTGGGGGGTGGGGGGCTGGGGGAGAACCTGACTGGAGCTATCACTGAGTTATTGTAAATAACCGTACCGTCATGACATTGTGTGCCTTGTCATACTTCGTGAGGAAATTTCTGGAGAGGACAAGGAGGACACGCCAACTGTTTCTGATGGCATCGAAGAACTGCTGGTCCGTGAAGCCACCTCTCAAGTCTCGCTGGTGTACGTATGTGGTCTGCTGGAGCTCACCTTCCAGGAACCTGATCGGATTGTATGGAAGTTTTTCATCAGTTTTGGTAACATACAGAGCCAGATTCACACTCATGTTAAATAAAGCGCTGAGGCCCCTACCGTTTTAAATAGCACCAGATAATATCAGAAAACTGTAGATTATGTAAAGTAAAAGTAAAGGACCCTTTTCCACGCCTTTAGGCTACAGGGCATTTAGGGCTAGCCATTTATTTTATAGATCAACCGGCACAGGATGGGTGATGTGGTCAGCATCGCGCCGGCTGCCTTTATTTCCTGTGACTGCACCCGGTTTCCACTTAAGGCTGAGTCGACCTGGGAGCCCAGGTCATTTTTGAAAAAAAAAAAAAGTCCGGCTCCTCCAACAACTACAGACTGGGTAATCTGGAGGACATTAATAAACAATTAAAAACTGTGAAAACTGGAGGACATTAATAAACAATTACAAACTGTGTAAACTGGAGGACATTAATAAACAATTACAAACTGTGTAAACTGGAGGACGTTAATAATCAATTTTTAAAAAACTGGGTAAACTGGAGAACATCAATGAACAATTTTAAAAACTGGGTAAACTGGAGGACATTAATAAACAATTCTTCTTCTTCTTAGCGTTCACCAGCTGTACACTCTGGCGTAAACTTCTGGTTGTTCGTCCACTTTTGGACTGCAGTCCTGCTCCAGAACCTGAGTGTTGCGTGTGCATCAGTTTTACAGATTTGATTCAATTGAATGCAGACTGCTGGTTAATTACCTCTCAGGCAGAGGCACTCTGACTTCAAAGGAAGCTCCCCAGTTAGTCGACTCTTACGACATGCTTTTTGGGGAGGTAGTGGGTCTATTCTTGTTTTCCCCACAATAGGGCCCCGGAACCCACATGGGGGAATAAACAATTAAAAACTGGGTAAACTGGAGGACATCAATTTACACCTTAAAAAACTGGGTAAACTGGAGGACATTAATAAACAATTAAAAACTGGCTAAACTGGAGGACATCAATTTACACATTTTTAAAAAAACTGGGTAAACTGGAGGACATCAATTTACACATTAAAAAACTGGATAAACTATAGGACATCAATTTACACATTAAAAAAACTGGATAAACTGCAGGACATAAAAAAAAACGAAACAAAAAAAAAAGGGTCAGTCAACTGGTGGGTGTGAAGTAACATTTTAAAACTGGGGAAATTTGACAAAAGAAGAGTAAAATTTAAAAGCCAGGTAAACTGGCAAACAAAAAGGAACAACAATTTTTGTTTTATTGGGTAAATTGAAGCCATAAAAGCAGAAAAATCTGGGTTGTTCTTTTTGGCTATCAAAAGGAATCTAAAAGAATTCTTCAGTAAAACCACATTTGCAAAACCTCAAGAACTTTTTTTGGGGGGATTGTTTATTAATTGTCCAGGATTCACTGCCATATGTTAAAAATAGTTAATGTTGATAAATTTCACTTATTGAAACCAGGACTGGATTTAAACTTGATCTGATCCTAAGCTATCCTAAGCTATTAAATCCCTGAAGCCCCTACTCCAGGCATGTCAAACATGGGGGCCGTATGAGGCCCGTTGCAAGTACACCTGCAGACTGCAAAAATTGTACAATAATTTCTATTGGATGACTTTATTTAGTTGTTGCGGGTGGTCCTCATGAAAACATAAATTTGACCCATATTGCTCTCGGGAGAACACAAATGTGACCCATATTGCTCTCGGGAGAACACAAATTTGACCCATATTGCTCTCGGGAAAACACAAATGTGACCCATATTGCTCTCGGGAGAACACAAATGTGACCCATATTGCTCTCGGGAGAACACAAATGTGACCCATATTGCTCTCGGGAAAACACAAATGTGACCCATATTGCTCTCGGGAGAACACAAATGTGACCCATATTGCTCTCGGGAGAACACAAATGTGACCCATATTGCTCTCGGGGGAACACAAATGTGACCCATATTGATCTCGGGAGAACACAAATGTGACCCATATTGCTCTCGGGAGAACACAAATGTGACCCATTTTGCTCTCGGGAGAACACAAATGTGAACCATGTTGCTCTTGGGAGAACACATATGTGACCCTTTCGGGAGAACCTTCAGTTTGTCGTGCCCAGTCTGCCATCTTAAATTACAGCAGAAAATCTATTTAAAAAACTGTAAAATATGTACACCTATTTTATTTTGAAAATACATAATTGTTAAATTCTTTATTAAAATATAATGCGCAGAATAGAGGGAATTGTATGACATGGTTGAAACACTAATATAGAGCTTTGGGAGAGAACTAAACAGGTTCCAGTGGACCAAGAGGTGAAGGAAAGCCGCTGGCGGTGGATAGGACAAACACCTGAGAACGATATAACTAGAATTTCTTTGCATTTGAACCCACAAGGACAAATAGATAAAAAAGACAGGGAAAAAAAGATGGAGAGACGAGCTAGAGAGTAAAGTTAAAAAAGATGGGGAGGACATGGGAAGAGCTGCATGCAATCTCGAAGGATAGAACGATTTGGCGTGAGTTGGTTGAGATTTGAAGGCAGAAAAAGACAGAAGAAGAAGCCAGAAAGACTGAGTTTGCAGAACTACAGAAACATTAAATAATTCTCTAAATTGCTCAAAACTGCAACTTCAAATTATTTTCCCTTGATTTCCCAAATGCGAAATCTTTGATTATGATATATACAAAGCAGATAATTTATCCAATTTAAAAAGATCATAACATGTTAGAATAGATAAAAACATTAATTAATACACTAAAAAATATTAATAAAAAGTAGCAATTTTGTGTGTGTGTGTGTGTGTGTGGGGGGGGGGGGGGTGGTGCTAAAAATTTTGAAAGAATATTGCATTTACAATATATTAAAAAAACTTGTTGATGTCCTTTCAGATTCCGAGGTCCTTAACTTTAGTTTATAGTTAGTTAATTTAGGACTAACTAAAGCATAGATTTCAAGAATGTCTGCTTGTAAACACACGAATCTTGCTAATTTTCACCACGAAATATTTACTCACGGCAACAAAATATTTCTGACAAAACCATAATCGTCGTCAGCATAGCCAAGGAACACTGGGATCCTGTAGTCCTCGGGTCTCATTGGTCGAAAAGCGTCCACAAACAATCGCAGAAGCAGCGCTTCTATGACGGTTTTGAAGCGGACCACCAGGAAGGCCACCAGGAAGACTATGATCATCAGGGTCGCCAGGATGTTGGCTGCCATAAAAATATACCTGCACAGAAAGATTGTGTTCATCTTTTACAAGTTGTCTGTTGCTTTAAAACGGATATCCATCGCTGTTTAAAGATATGTATCCATCGCTGTTTCAAGACATATATCTATCACTGTTTTAAGACATATATCCATCACTGTTTCAAGACATATATCCATCACTGTTTTAAGACATATATTCATTACTGTTTTAAGGCATCCATCCATCACTGTTTCAAGACATATATCCATCTCTGTTTTAAGACATATACCCATCACTGTTTTAAGACATATATCCATCACTGTTTTAAGACATATATCCATCACTGTTTTAAGACAGATATCCATCACTGTTTTAAGACAGATATCCATAACTGTTTTAATACATATATCCATCACTGTTTTAATCATATATCCATCACTGTTTTAAGACATGTATCCATCACTGTTTTACGACATATATCCACTACCGTTTTATGACAGCTAACTGTCATACGGACAGCTGCTGTGCTGTAGTGGCTAGGCGCTCGCCTGTGAATATGAAGGTCGTGGACTCAATATAAAAGTCTTTTTCTTGTAAAATGGCCTGGCTCCCAAGTCGCTCCAATCTTAAATGGGTACCAGGTAAAAATCGTGGGAAGTTAAGATGGTCGGCGTGATTATTCCTTGAGGTCTACACAAATATGAGTCTATCCTTGTATGCCCTATGCGCCACCTGCTTGTAAAGGAACGTTTACTGTCTCACACATACATACACACCCACATTGGACTACGTGTGATCTTGGAACCGTCTTGTGGTGCCCCAGTGTACACTGTGGCTATACGGCCGAACGGGATTTCCCGGATTTGCGCCTGTTGAGTGAGTGAGATTCAACCCCAACAGGGCATCCACCAAGCGATAAACACCCGGTGACACAAAGTGCCACCAGGCGGATGAGGATCATCCGGGGAGAGGTCCCAGAAACCCCGTTCAACAGTTAGGTTATATTAGGGCCCCCGACTACAGCCTGGGTGGGGCTTTAAAAAAATGAAAAATTGAGTCCCATATTGGGACGATAGACATTCTGTGCCTGTTTTTGTCGTCTCCCTTGAGATGTCAATCCTATAAATTACAATATTGAAGGGGACACTTAAACTAAACAACAAAAACGAAGACAGACACTGTTTTTAGTAATTCATAGTAACGAAGCTACAAACAGTGAGAACGACTGGAGACTTGAGAAGGGACAACTACAATAACAACAACAAAAAAGGACGGGGGAGGGGGGGGGGGAGCTGGGGTGCTAAAAAATGTGAATATACTTCCTGTTTGTGTATATTGCTTTGTACGGTGAAGCCTCCAGTACTTAAATGTTGTACGACCACATTTCGTAAGGAATTGCTAGGGGTTTCTCTGGACAGTACCAAATTATAGAAGAGTTAGATTTAGGGCTTGTGTTAAATGAATAGCGACTACTACTAAGCCTAACCCTGACACACCCCCCCCCACCCCTTTTCTCATACTATGGGACATTCTGGGGATTTCCCTACCAAATCTCGAAGCCGACGTAATGTGGTCGTATAAAACTAAAGTACCAAGCCTCGTTAACAACGAACTCGCTTCAGACAAAAATAAATACTCAGTAACAATGAATCAATCTTTTTTTTTTTTTTTTACAGCAGGGATGTATTATTCAGAATAAAAGTATCAGTTGCCTGTTAGCAGGCAATCTTTACAGATAAACTCTTGGGTTTTCTCCTTGGATTTCGTATTATTGAGATTTGAATGTACTTTCCTTTCTTACCTCAAACAGGCAAGCAGACACTTATCGACGGAACATGGTGCAAGGGGATCTTTGAGGTAGTGCACACACCTATAACCGTGAACATCAATGGTCAAATCTCTAATGTGAATTGGCTTCTTAGTCGTGTGCACACAATGGCGGAGTCTCAGCTAGAAGTTCTACTTTTAGTTCACTTTGCTGAGGTATCAATGGTCGAGACTGACGGAAAATCTCTTCTTAGTTTAGTGCAATAGAATAAATATTGTCGAGTCACTGATGCAAATTGTCCCCAGTGGTCTAGTTCAGTTAGGCATCGATGGTCGAGTCTCTGGGTGAAATACCCCTTCCCCCTTCCTTTTTCCCCCAAATTGCCTAGTTCGCTAAGGCATAATTGGTCAATTTATTAATGTGAATTCACTAGCTCGTCCAGTTCACTAACACATAAATGGCGGAGTTTTTGATGTGAATTTTTCCTTTGTCTTGTTCACGAAAACATCATTGATCAAGCATCTAGATGTGAATTGTCTCATTATTATTGTCTATGAAAACCTCAATAGTCGAATCTTTAATGGGAATTTCCTCTTTGGTCTAGCCTCATATGTGTCTATCAACGGTCTAGTCCCAGATGTGAGATGGCTCCAGGGTCTAGTTCACTAAGACATCAAGAATAGCATCAGCTACCGCGTGTTCTGGTCATGCAAGGGCTAGGGGATCAATTGAACGTGTATGCCATGACTTTTCAACTGGCTGATCGCGGTCCAAAACATGCCCGATGAGTGGCCTGCGGATGCTTGCCAGTTGTATTACTGATATTTCGACGCTGAGTAAAAGCTCTGACGCAAGTGGCTCTAACGCAAGAGGCTCTGACGCAAGAGGCTCTTACGCAAGAGGCTTTGACGCATGGGACTCTGACGCACGTGGGTCTGACGCAAGTATAAACTTGTTAAATTAATACTAACGGGGAGGGGGTGGGAGGCTGTTTTGGGCAAGGCATTAGATTAAACATTAGATAAACCTGTAATGGATGTTAATTTCCTTCGGCGAGTTGGAGCCCATTAAATAGATTAGACTAATTCCACGGTGTCATTTAAAATGAAAAAAAAAAAAAAAATGTCTGTAGCAACGACTCAACTCGACACACAGACACACACACATATATATACACACACCCCCTCGATCCGAAACCAGCGATAGCAAACAAACATGGCGTCCTTACCTGCCCTCGCACAGTCGAATAAAATCAGGGATGTCATCGATATCTGTGACATTGATCCTCTGGGTATCGTCTATCACACACTCGAAAGTTGTCTGGTCCACGTTGACTTGTGTTGTATACACCCACACTGCAGCGGGAACAGAAGACAAGGTAACAAACCAGATTAAAAGTATAACCAGTCACCTTGGTATTATTACAAACAGAAACTACGTGGGAACATTTCCGCTAGAAAGTCTTCATCGGCACATTTAATGAATATATGTTTTTGTGACACTCTGGTGTAAGGGGGAATAAACCAGCAGATTGGCTTGCTGGCATGGCTAAGGTAGGTTCAGGAAAAGCAATGGACCGGGCCGATATTCTCAATGTTTTCAAGGAGGCAGGACGAAAAGATAATTCAGAAGACATTGAAACGGCAATAACTAAAAAAAAAAAAAAACCTTAAGAGCTTGAGGTCAAAAGAGGTGTTGCCAAACATAAACACTTTACAGGTAGTCAAAGAGGAATAGTAAACAAACACAGAACTTGTGTTATCAGTCACCACACCCTGAGGGAGATACTAAAGATGGGATCCAAGCGCTTATGGACTTATTCGATGTGCAGTGAGGGTAATCAGTCGATTTATCATCATCATCATCATGTAGTAGGCATTTTGCAGAACGGCGCTCTCATCACGGTCTGCCTGAAAGAAACTCGGTCTCTCGCCAGCTCTCCTGCCTCATGCACTTTCATACTCAAGGAGTCACTTATATTCGTGTCGGTCGGCCCCTGCCCATCCTTCCTGGTACCATGCCTTTTGCTATAATTTTTTTTCAATGCGTCATTGCTCTTGATGTCACCAGAATATTTAAGCTTCCGAGACAGGATGCTGTTTGTAAGCCAATCCTAATTGATTTTCATATCTTTAAATATGTCAGTATTTCTCCTCTTCATTGTCCAAGATATTCTGAGAATCTTTCTATAGCATTTCAGCTCAAACGCCTCTATTCTCTTTCTTAAGGCCTGGGAGACAGTCCACGATTCACATCCGTGTGTAGCCACAGTCAATTAACTAAGTAAATTTCTATTGCATGAATATACTTCTTTTTCTTTTGTCAAAATCTGCTTGTGCCGCTAGGCGTCGCAGTCTAACAGATGATCGGCAACCGAGTCAGGGCGCGCTCAGTCGCTTCATATGCCGTGATGTTATGAAGTCTGAAGTTGTCAGTGACTTCTTCAATCCATATTCTTCTTGGTCTTCCCCTGCCTCTTGGTGTTTCGATTTTCATGTTGTATGCTCTTGATGCTGGCATCGTTGGTTCCATTCTCATTAGGTGACCAAACCATTTCATTCTTTGCTTCTCAATAAATTTAACGATGGGTATGGTTCCAATAGTTCTTGTAATCACATCGTTTCTCACGCGATCTCTTCTGGTTTTATTCGCAGCCATTCTCAAACATCTCATTTCACAGGTGGTTAGTCTTCTCTCGTGTTCTTTTGATAATGTCCAAGTCTGACATTGATAACCTAATGTCGGTATAAAAGATTGTATTTATATAATTTGTCTTTTTTATCTCAGCTGGGACAGCAGGGTGTTTTAAAATTGGGGCAAGCTGGTATGCGACATTGTTGGCTTGTTGGATTCTTGCTTCGATCTCTCTGTCTATTTTACCATTGAATGTAAAGATACTTCCCAAGTATTTAAATTCTTGCACTTGTTTTAGGCTGTGATCTAGAATCTTTATGTCGATGGTCTGTTGCTCTCTAATTATGCTCATGACTTCTGTCTTTTCAGTATTGATCTTCATATGATGCTTGAGGCAACTGTCGTGTAGTAGGTTTATGTGGTCTTGCAGCTGTTTACTATCACTGTGAAATATGCATTGATCGCCGGCAAAGAGCAGCTCATTGAAGTCCTCCTGTTTATCGACATCTGTTGGTGTTATGTCTATTTTATTAATATTGTCCATAAATATTATGAAAAGTAAAGGTGAAAATACACAACCTTGTCTTACTCCTGATGTTACTGGGAACCAGTCTGTGATGCCAGCTCTTGTTATAATGGCGCTTTCACTTTATCTATAAATAGCCCTAACATAATCTAAAATTGTTCCATTGATACCGTAGTTTTCAAGAACTTTCCATAATAAATTTCTGTTTACTCTATCGAAAGCTTTTTCTTGATCTATGTAAGCGATGTTCATTTGATGTCTGTGTTCTATTGTCTTTTCGCTAACTTGTCTTAAAGCAAAAATAGCGTCAGTACACCCTCTTCTCTTCCTAAATCTGACCTGTGATGGGCTCAGGATCGGTTCTACAACGGATCTAATTCGTTGTTCCAGAATTTTGGCAAACATTTTTCCTACGTGGCTTAGAAGGGAGATGCCTCTGTAATTGTTACAATCTTGCTTATTGCCTTTTCTTTTCCAAATTGGGACTATAAGTGCTCTTTGCCAGTCTATTGGTACAGTTCTTTCATTCCAGGCTTTCCTAAATATGTGGAGTAGCCAGGTGACTCCAATTTCTCCACAAGCCTGTATTGCCTCGGCTGATATTCCATCAACACCTGATGCCTTATTTTTGGGACTGCATCTGATTGCTTCTCTGACTTCTTGTTCGATTATTGTAGGCTGTTCCTCGTTTGTACATCTGGGTGTTAATGGTACTGTTTCCTCATTTCCTGTTACATTCAGAAGAGTCTGAAAATATTCTTTCCACCTTTCTCTGATCTTGCCCTCCTCATGTATGGGTTTGCCTTGACTATCATTGACATATTCAGATGGCTGGAATGGTTCATCTCTAGTTCTCATTTTTGCAATGGTTTTTGTAAAACTGTCTACTAGATTTAGCACAGATTTTGGTAAGATTTTCCCCATACATGATCCAGGATGTTTCCTTGGATTGTTTAATTTCTCTTGCAGATTGTCGCCTGGCAATTCTGTACTTGATATAATCGTCATCTGAGCGGGATCTTAGCCATTTCTTGTATTGCTCCTTTTTACATTTCACTGCTTGTTTTACGTTATCATTCCACCATGCTGTTTTTTTCCTTAACGTTCCTCCTGTGTATCTAATACCACAGAGTGTTGTTAGGCAGTTCAGAAGAGTGTTCTTAAATTTTTGCCACGCAGCTTCCACATTGTCACTTGATGTTATTAGCTCAGCCATCTTCGCCGTCATTTCTGCCTGTACTTTTGCTTGGTTGTCTAGATTGCTTATACAATGAATATACAATACCACAAAAAGAAAAGATGAGCATGCATCTCCTTTGTAGACTTCTTTCTCCACTGAGTGGTTTTCCAGACGTTGAGGTTTAAATACAAGAATCTTGGAGCATTCTTTAAAAATTTTAGATTTACAAGTCTGGTAGCATCCTCGAAGACTCCAAGATTTTTACTGACTATAATTGTAAATCTGGCAACAATTTCATATTCTTAAGAAAAGCAAACCTGGCAACATTCTGACAGACTTTCGGATTGCATTTCTGGCAACATTATCACAAACCCTCTAGGATTGTATGTCTGGCAACACTATCACCCACTCTAGGACTGTATGTCTGGCAACATTATCACACACCCTCTAGGATTGTATGTCTGGCAACATTATCATACACACTCTAGGATTGTATGTCTGGCAACACTATCACCCACTCTAGGACTGTATGTCTGGCAACATTATCACACACCCTCTAGGATTGTATGTCTGGCAACATTATCATACACACTCTAGGATTGTATGTCTGGCAACATTATCATACACACTCTAGGACTGTATGTCTGGCAACATTATCATACACACTCTAGGATTGTATGTCTGGCAACATTATCATACACACTCTAGGATTGTATGTCTGGCAACATTATCATACACACTCTAGGACTGTATGTCTGGCAACATTATCATACACACTCTAGGATTGTATGTCTGGCAACATTATCATACACACTCTAGGACTGTATGTCTGGCAACATTATCATACACACTCTAGGATTGTATGTCTGGCAACATTATCATACACACTCTAGGATTGTATGTCTGGCAACAATATCACACACCCTCTAGGATTGTATGTCTGGCAACATTATCATACACACTCTAGGATTGTATGTCTGGCAACATTATCATACACACTCTAGGATTGTATGTCTGGCAACATTATCATACACACTCTAGGATTGTATGTCTGGCAACATTATCACACACCCTCTAGGATTGTATGTCTGGCAACATTATCATACACACTCTAGGATTGTATGTCTGGCAACATTATCATACACACTCTAGGACTGTATGTCTGGCAACATTATCATACACACTCTAGGATTGTATGTCTGGCAACATTATCATACACACTCTAGGATTGTATGTCTGGCAACATTATCATACACACTCTAGGATTGTATGTCTGGCAACATTATCATACACACTCTAGGATTGTATGTCTGGCAACATTATCATACACACTCTAGGACTGTATGTCTGGCAACATTATCATACACACTCTAGGATTGTATGTCTGGCAACATTATCATACACACTCTAGGATTGTATGTCTGGCAACATTATCACACACCCTCTAGGATTGTATGTCTGGCAACATTATCATACACACTCTAGGATTGTATGTCTGGCAACATTATCATACACACTCTAGGATTGTATGTCTGGCAACATTATCATACACACTCTAGGATTGTATGTCTGGCAACATTATCACACACCCTCTAGGATTGTATGTCTGGCAACATTATCATACACACTCTAGGATTGTATGTCTGGCAACATTATCATACACACTCTAGGATTGTATATCTGGCATTATTCTCAGTGTTCTAGTATTTTATACCAGAGAACTTTCTACAGGCTCTTGGACTGTATATATTCTTTTATACTCTTGGACTGTATATATTCTTTTATACTCTTTGACTGCATATATTCTTTTATACTCTTTGACTGTATATATGACAACATTCTTTTATACCCTATGATTATAAGAGACTCTAAGACTGTATATATGACAACATTCTTTTATACCCTATGATTATAAGAGACTCTAAGACTGTATATATGACAACATTCTTTTATACCCTATGATTATAAGAGACTCTAAGACTGTATATATGACAACATTCTTTTATACCCTATGATTATAAGAGACTCTAAGACTGTATATATGACAACATTCTTTTATACCCTATGATAATAAGAGACTCTAAGACTGTATATATGACAAAATTCTTTTATACCCTATGATTATAAGAGACTCTAAGACTGTATATATGACAACATTCTTTTATACCCTATGATTATAAGAGACTCTAAGACTGTATATATGACAACATTCTTTTATACCCTATGATTATAAGAGACTCTAAGACTGTATATATGACAACATTCTTTTATACCCTATGATTATAAGAGACTCTAAGACTGTATATATGACAACATTCTTTTATACCCTATGATTACAAGAGACTCTAAGACTGTATATTTGGCAACATTCTGAAAAAAATCTAAGACCGAATATCTGGCAACGATTTCACACTCTAAAGTTGTAAACCTGGCTAAATTCCTACAGACTTTGTTATTATATACCTGAAATAGTAGCAGACGAAGCTGCGTTAGATATTAAGTATCTTAGCTTAGGAGAGTTGGAGCTCATTTGATACAAACAGTAGTAAATTTTTTGAAAAAGTAAAGATCCATTTTCAAGCCTGTAGGCGCATCAGGCATATAGAAAGAGCACCCATATTTTTGTACAGACCATTCGGCACTAGGTGGGTAATGTAGTCAGCATTATGCCGGCCGTTTTTTTACATCCTCATGACATACATCATGACACTAATTTTAAGCGACGCCTCATACCATGATAAAAATCTACGCAGCCAGCAGTGGGTTTCGATTGCGATACATTGAAATTACGAGTCAGACTTGCAGCGCCAAAGCCACCGACACCGCACAAAAAGTAGTAGTAGCAACAAAAGTAGTAGTAGTGGTAGTAGTAGTAGTAGTAGTAGTAGTAGTAGTAGTAGTAGTAGTAGTAGTAGTAGTAGTAGTAGTAGTAGTAGTAGTAGTAGTACTAGTGGTGGTAGCAGCATCAGCAGCAGCGGCAGTAGCGGCAGTAGCAGCGGCAGTAACAGTAGTAGCAGTAGTAGTAGTAGTAGTAGTAGTAGTAGTAGTAGTAGTAGTAGTAGTAGTAGTAGTAGTAGTAGTAGTAGTAGTAGTAGTAGTAGTAGTAGTAGTAGTAGTAGTAGTAGTAGTAGTAGTAGTAGTAGCAGCAGCAGCAGCAGTAGTAGTAGTAGTAGTAGTAGTAGTAGTAGTAGTAGTAGTAGTAGTAGTAGCAGTAGTAGTAGTAGTAGTAGTAGTAGTAGTAGCAGTAGTAGTAGTAGTAGTAGTAGTAGTAGTAGTAGTAGTAGTAGTAGTAGTAGTAGTAGTAGTAGTAGTAGTAGTAGTAGTAGTAGTAGTAGTAGTAGTAGTAGTAGTGGTGGTAGCAGCATCAGCAGCTGCGGCAGTAGCGGCAGTAGCAGCGGCAGTAACAGTAGTAGCAGTAGTAGTAGTAGTAGTAGTAGTAGTAGTAGTAGTAGTAGTAGTAGTAGTAGTAGTAGTAGTAGTAGTAGTAGCAGCAGCAGTAGTAGTAGTAGTAGTAGTAGTAGTAGTAGTAGCAGCAGCAGCAGTAGTAGTAGTAGTAGTAGTAGTAGCAGCAGCAGCAGCAGCAGCAGCAGCAGCAGCAGCAGCAGCAGCAGTAGTAGTAGTAGTAGTAGTAGTAGTAGTAGCAGCAGCAGCAGCAGCAGTAGTAGTAGTAGTAGTAGTAGTAGTAGTAGTAGTAGTAGTAGTAGTAGTAGTAGTAGTAGTAGTAGTAGTAGTAGTATAGAAGCAGCAGTATTAGCAGTCGGACTTTTATTAAAGGCGTTAAGCTAAAAGACACAGTTCCGGCAATTAGGTAAAGTAAAAAAGTAAAGAAACTTGTTTCCTCGCCTTTCAGGAGTATTAGGCATATAGAGCTAGCCCTATATTTTATAGACCAATCGGCACTTGGTGCTTGATGTGGTCAACATCACACCGGCCGCCTTTACTTTCCAGGAACACACCATGTGCGCACTCAAGGCTGGGCTGACCAGGGATCTAAGGACATTACCTTTCTGTTGAAAACTCACCAACAAATGTGGACTGGGAGCAGACGCAGGCGATACCGTTGCCAAACAACCTCAAGGTGAAGGTCTCAACCCTGGCCACGTGACGGTTCAATTTCGCCATCTCGTCATCACTCAGGAACAAAATGGCGTTGTTGGAGAGATCCATGACACGGAGGTTGTGGGTGGTCTCTAGGTCAAAGGGGATGCTGGAGAACCTGTTCTGTGAGAGGATGATGTGGGTGATGTTTGGTGTGGAGGAAAACGTGTCCAGGGGAGACAGCAGGGAGTTGAGTCTATTTCTGGAGATGTCTAGGTATCTCAAGTTGGTGAGGTTACGCAGAAGTCGCTGCAGGGAGTGTGTGTGGAAGAAGGTGTCTGGTCTGACATTGTCCAAGAGTAGAACCTCCAAACTGTGCAATGTGTCGAAGAAGTGGTCAGATATGTCAAACATGCTGCCACTGAAACCCACCACTTTCAGGGTTTCTAGGCCATATATGGTGCCCTGACAGCGCAAAAGCTCATTGTTGATCCAGTAAAACTCCTTCAGTTTGCTGGCGCCTACAACTATTATTGTCCATGACTCCAGGGTCACGCCTGCAAATAGCATGTTAATTACTTTAAATTTCTCCAAAGATTTTGCCAGATAATACGTCAGGTTTCCGTTGTAGGGGAAACGTAAATAATATGTGTCCCCTGCTTTAGAAGTCACGGTTGCTGTTGAGTGGTTTGAGTTACCTCCCCAGGAAGGGATGATTTCTGATAACCTAATTGTGTTACCTCCGTAAAGAGTCATAGTTTCTGGCAATTCTGCTGTGTTTACTCCCTTAGATGTCATAGTTTCTGACAACTCAGTTGTTTTATCTTTCCTCGATGTCATACTTTCTGACAACTTAGTTGTGTTATCTCCCCTAGATGTCATACTTTCTGACAACTTAGTTGTGTTATCTCCCCTAGATGTCATACTTTCTGACAACTCAGTTGTGTTATCTCCCCTAGATGTCATACTTTCTGACAACTTAGTTGTGTTATATCCCCTAGATCGTATAATTTCTGACAACTTATTTGTGTTATCGCCCCTAGATGTCATACTTTCTGAAAAACGAGCCACTTTACTTCTTTTAGAAGATATGGCTTGTGGAGAGCGCTGTGTATTGCCTCCTCTTGAAATCTTGGTTTTCCGTCTTGACATCTCTGGGTGAAAAGCCAACTTGTGGTGGTCAAGTTTATGCAACAAAACTGAGGTGCGTATATCGCTGCTAGCGGGACTTTCATGGTCATTATTACCTGCAGGTTGTGTCAAACCCGTGCTGTGAGCTATCTTATTCGCTCTGACCACATCTGACAGATTAAAGTGCACTAAAGTGGGAATGTCTTCGCTGGGCGGGGAGTTCATTGTGGACACCGACAGCTCTTTCATGTTTTTGAGCCTGATCATTTCGAACACAACCGTTACCCAGCCGATGTTCTCCAGCTTATTCTGTGATAGATCCAGCGTCTGTAGACATCTAGGCCAAGCCTGCCTTGTCAACGTGTTGGGTTTCACGGCAAACAAGAGACTATTGATCCAGGAGAAATGACGCACACATATAGAGCTCAAGAATTTAGCATCTTCATCAATAATACCATCAGTAAGTGTAGCATTCGGGATGTTGAATGTCAGAAAGTAGTTTGTCCTGACGAACTTGATTTCCGTCATGTTCCGGTTTGTAAACGGCTTCAATGCTCTCAAGATTCCATGGTTGGTGTAGTGAGTTCCATCAACCGAAAAAAACTGTAAATGAGGCAAGTTCTGGAAAGCGCCAGATTCTAGTGGAACGTCTGCCATGTTAATTGCCACTAGATTTAAGACAACCAGAGGTAGCTGCCCCAGTGCCTGCAGACTACTATTGGAGACAGACGTCACTTTATTGCAGACTAATGTAAGGTTTGTTAAATGGGTCAGGTTGGAGAACTGCTCGCCAAGGTCGAGATTGCCACTCACGGCATCGATGGAGAGGTTGGTTAGGTGAGGTAGGACTTGGAAAATTTCCATGTTATTCTTGTAATTTTCACAGTTGGAGGAGATGTCATCGTAATCGATGTTGTAACCAATAAACAAGTGACGCAGATTTTTTACATGTGTGAACATGCCGGGCGGAAATGAACTGTTGAGACAAAATGGAAGGTCGTTGTGTTCTAGGTTGAGTGTATCCAGTCTGTGCAGCCCAGACAGAGCGTCAATCTGTCGATAAACAGACAGCAGTAACCATAAACAGATAACCAATATAACAACAATATAAATAGAGAAGAAATTTATTATGAATAGAGGATAACCCTGTCAGTAAACTGATAATAAATTTAAAAAGAAAATACAGCAAGAAAACCAATATGACACTTATAAGTAAATGTTCTATTTGCACGCCTTTTGGCGTATAGAGCATGACCCATATTTTATAGACCAATAGGTGCCTGGTGGGTGATGTGGTCAGCATCACGCAGGCCGCCTTTACTTCCATGGACTTTACCCAGTACCCACTGAAGGCTGGGTCGACCTGGATACCAAGGTCATTTTTGAAAAAAGTCCGGCTTCGCCAGGGAGCGAACCCACGACCTTCCAATCCACGGCAAGCGTCTAGCCGCTCTGCCACGACGACTCCCATATGACAGTTATAGATACAGATTATCAACTTGTCGGTACAAACAAATGAAATAAAACATACTGAGCTAGCGGGAAGCGTCTAGCCGCTCTGCCACGGCGACTCCCATATGACAGTTATAGATACAGATTATCAACTTGTCGGTACAAACAAATGAAATACAACATATTGAGCTAGCGGGAAGCGAAAATGGACAGCAAAGCAACAGACGAGAAAATAAATGTCTTTAGAACAAGTAAGCATTCTGCGATAAAATGAAAAGAAAAAAAAAAAGCAGGATATGCAGAGGTTGGACATGGGTTCCTTTCATGCAGAAGCCGTGAATTGTAGCTCACGATCCAGGTATTCAATCTATAGTATAGATAATCAATTACGCACAGCCAAAACATGCAACCATATAGGCAGCACCTAGGTAGAAAAATTGCATGAACTACAAGTTCTAATCTGAATTAAACAAAAGGAACATATGTTTAGATTTCCAAATATAATCCAATGTGACTCGCAGGTAAACAATACAATGACAACAATATGTTAAAACAGAATGTGTGCTACTCACTCTAGCAACAAATCTATCTAAAGAATGTGCCGCTAAAAAACATGAAGCCCAGTGAGCCGGTTCATCCCCCTATCGATCTTAACTACACGTGCAAAATAGCAAGCCACCATTCGCTATTAGCTGCATGTCACTAACAAGCATCCACTCTCACTAAAACACCGTTCACTTCGTTCAGAAACCATATGTCTCATATTCTGTTTCTAACAAAGACAATGTATACCTTACAACAATCTCACATACTCTAGTAATGTATACGTGGCAACATTCTCACAAACTCTAGGTCTGTATATGTGGCAACATTCTCACAAACTCTAGGTCTGTATATTTGGCAACATTCTCACATACTCTAGTAATGTATATGTGGCAACATTCTCACATACTCTAGTACTGTATATGTGGCAACATTCTTACATACTCTAGTACTGTATATGTGGCAACATTCTCACATACTCTAGTACTGTAAATGTGCCAACATTCTCACATACTCTAGTAATGTATATGTGGCAACATTCTCACATAATCTAGTACTGTATATGAGGCAACATTCTTACATACTCTAGTACTGTATATGTGGCAACATTCTCACATACTCTAGTACCGTATATGTGGCAACATTCTCACATACTCTAGTAATGTATATGTGGCAACATTCTCACAAACTCTAGGTCTGTATGTGTGCCAACATTCTCACATACTCTAGTAATGTATATGTGGCAACATTATCACATATTCTAGTACCGTATGTGTGGCAACATTCTTACATACTCTAGTACTGTATATGCGGCAACATTCTAACATACTCAAGTACTGTAAATGTGCAAACATTCTCACATACTCTAGTAATGTATATGTGGCAACATTCTCACATACTATAGTACTGTATATGTATCAACATTCTTACATACTCTAGTACTGTATATGTGGCAACATTCTTACATACTCTAGTACTGTATATGTGGCAACATTCTTACATACTCTAGTACTGTATACTTGGCAACATTCTCACATACTCTAGTACTATATATGTGGCAACATTCTCACATACTCTAGTACTGTATGTGTGGCAGCAATCTCACAGACTCTAGTGCTGTATATGTGGCAACATTCTCACATACTCTAGGACTGTATATGTTTCAACATTCTCACATACTCTAGTAATGTGTATGTGGCAACATTCATACATACTCTAGTACTGTATATGTGTAACATTCTCACATACTCAAGTAATGTGTATGTGGCAACATTCATACATACTCTAGTAGTGTATCTGTGGCAACATTCTCACATACTCAAGTAATGTGTGTGTGGCAACATTCATACATACTCTAGACCTGTAATTGTGGCCACATTCTCACACAAAGAAGCTTCCTCCTTGGTTCATCTCACCAAATCTCACCATCTCCACGGCTATTTACTCTCCGGTTAAGTGTGTTCTTATTATTGCATTGGCAAGACATCCATGTGGCTGCATCTGGATACGTGAGTTAAGTGATTTTGTGTATTCATGTTGTTTTGTTTGATTTATGTAAATGCTGACGAATGTTCTATAACCGCAGCGTTCACATTTTGTGTGTGTTAGTTATACTGTGAAGCTCGCTGATATATGTTTCGTTTGGTTTTGCATCTTTCCTTGGTACAATAAAGTAGAGAACACACCATTATATAAACAGAGAACTAATCTGACATTACGCAAAATCGAGAATTGTCTGACAATATGTAAAAGAGAACAGATGTAATACAAACAAAGAAGATATATAACGCTACCAGATAACAAGTGAAATAAACACCGAACAAATGCAGCAAAAACATAGAACAACTATGTCCTAAACAGCGAATAAGCATACCATAAACTGAGAATAAATATAACATAAACAGCGAGCAAATATATCATACTAACAAAACTAGAAACAAAGAATCACAATAAAATAATTACTTTCAAATAGTTAGCAGACCAATTCTTCATGAGGAAAAGCTAACAGATGCACTAAAAATAATAACAGGTGTGCAACGGGGATCCCTCTTGTTACCTCTCCTATTTTTACTAGCTATGGATTATGCAGACCCATCAAAGATGAAAACAGCAGGAAAGTAAGAGTGAAAAGCAACAACGAAATTCATAATCTGTTTAAATCACCATTGATCACTGGCATCATGAAAGCTAATAGACTGAAATGGTTGGGGCATATTGAAAGAATTGCAGATGACACAGAAGTAAAAACTGTATACACAAGGGAGCTGAATGGTCGTAGACCACGAGGC